GGGAGCTGACTCCCAGAGCCCTTGCTCCAAGCACGGTGGGAGAGTTGGCAAGGCATCTTCTAGACCTGACATTGCACAGAGGAGAAAAGCAAGACCTGGAGGGGTGAGCAGGAGGCAGAACCAAGGTCAGAACCCCCTCCCCCCTCCCCGTTCCCCATCCCAGCATCCTACCGCCAAATCAGTTGACCTAGACTTTGCAGGACTTTGTATGTTTGCTCATTGGTTTTTCTTTAAGGAGAAACCTGAACATTTTAGAGGAGACTTTTTTTGTTTTTTTTGATAAGAGGGCTGTTTGTTAATTGGCTGATTGCTAAGAGCTCTGCCCTGAGGCACACACGAAAGGTCCAGAAGAGGTGACCCCTGCCCTCAATTTGTCTACAAAATGCCCTGCTCCAGCTTCTGGGAGGATAAAATTAGAATGCAGCGTTCTCTGCAAAAAACCAGGGCACGCGGCCTTTGTTACGTCCGGGCTGCTTCAGAGTAGATCCCCAGGTAGGCAGAGGGGTCTGTTTCCAGAGGCTTTTGAAAACCCCATGGGTCCAAGGCACCTCCCAGTCAGGCTCCAAAATGCCTGACCTTCCACCCTGGGAGCATCTCTTGGTTGGCATTCCCTGGTCCCCTTCATGCTGACCGCAGCAAATGCCATCTAGTGTGAAGGTGGTAAACTGGCTCTTTGCTGATGAGCAGCCCAAGGACCCGTGATTTCTAGGGTGAGGGTTAGGGAGGTCAGGAAACTGTAAGGACCAACTTTCCCTCCTGACAGTCTCTCCGTGAGATGGCTTTGGCAGACAGACTCGCTTCTCCTTTATCCCAGCACAGAGCAAACTCTGTGCCCAAAGACAGGATACATCGGCCCTGGGCAGTTTTCCAGATTAAATGGCGGGTTGAGAGTCCCTGCTTGCTCCCGATCTGGGATGCTGGCCCAATCAGGAATGGCCTCTCCACACTCATGCAGGGGGTGCGCCTGAGACCACTGGCCAAATCTTTTCTCTGCCTCTTGTTTTCTGCATGACCTGACCCTTCACCTCTCCAGGCCTCTGTTTCTCCATCTACAAAATGGGAATCACCCCACTGACCACCCAATGTGAGAATTATATGAGGCATATTGGAATTTGTTGAACCCCATGGAAGACTCATGAGCCAGCCATCCATCCATCCATCCGTCTGTCCATCCACCCATTTGCATTTGTTTATTAGCGCCTGCTGTTGCCAAGTTCTACTCTATTGCTAGAAGAGCGGTGGACAAGTCAGGGCTCCCTGCCCTCCTGGGGTTTACATTCTAGGAGGGGGAGACCCACAGAAAGAAGTAAGTCCATAAATAAGCTCATTTCAGAGAGTGCTAAGTAGCACGAAGTAAATAAAACAGGGCTAATATGACAGAGTCATGGGGGTGGCGATATTTGAGCTGGCTCGTGGGTCACTCTACACCTAGGTCAAAGGAGGTCGGAAAGCTCCGGGGTAGAGAAGGGAGCCTAAAAGCAGGAGCTTGACTCACGTCTGCTGTGTGATCTTGGGCAAGCTACTTAACTCTTGGGCCTCAGTTTCCCCATCTGTAAAATGCAGACAAAAGCATCTCTCCCGTGGAGGAGTAGTGAGAATTTAATGGCATTCAACAAATAAGCATTCTTAAATTCTATAAAAATGGACAGTATTTGGCATTCAACAAATAAGGATTCTTAAATTCTATAAAAATGGACAGTATTGATCGGAGACATCTCAGAAGAACCACCTGCCTCATGGAGGTGCCGTAGGGTCACAGGAGCTCCTGGCTAAGGGAGCAGACACTTTGACCCCGGCCCCTGGGAGGGGTTTTTGGAGTATTTGTGTTTGGGCTCCATCCCTGCCCCTCGCTGTTACCACTCAGCCTGTGGCCCCGTGGGTGTTCAGGACCAGCTGGAGGACCCTCTCTCTCTCCCACCTCGAGTCGATACCTAGGCCCCCACATCCAGGTCACTTGCCTTTCCTGCCCTCGGGGACAGCCTGGGGACAAGAGAAGGTGCTGTCCACTTCCCAGCTCACACCCCAGGAAGAGGAGGAGCCCGGGGACGTGTCCCTCCACCTGGCAGGGATCCCACCCGTTATTCCCATGGTGGGAGCCTGTGTTTGGCTTGGTTGATCTTACTTTTTTTGCTTTTTTATTTGGAAATAACGCTCACTTTACAGAAGAACTGCAACAATAGCATGGCGGGTTCTGTGCACCCCACACACAGTGTCCCCCAGGGCTAACATTTCATGTGACCGCAGCACAGGATGAATACTAAGAGCTCGCATGGGATTGGGGGGTGGGGGGGACACATGTGCTTCAAACCAAGTCTGGGGAGGACAGTGCTCACCTCAAGGAGCCCCGGTCCTTTTGGCGGCCTTTCTGAGGCCACTTCACGTTCCGTTTTCACTGGTCTCTCCCAAGGAATTGGTCCTGCCCCTCCCTTCACGGCCCTGACAGACACCCGGACCCTCACCCAGAGATGCGCATTTCCTAGCAAACACGCCAGGCGGGGCCTGGACCCCTAACTCTCAATCCCTTCTAAATGCAATGAGGACTTACCTGGGGCCCCACACTCTCTGGCAGGCTGGGGACACAGCATCTCAGACGCATCGTGGCAGAGGGTGGCAAAGTCCTTCTTGTCCTCTCTGGTCTCCTGGAGAGAAAATCAACAGGGCAGACATTCCCTGGGCCCCCTTTACTCCAAAAAAGGTCTCAGAAGACCTGGCTGCTGAGCAGTAGCCCCTGTGACTGCCACAGCAAGGATCCCGCCATTGGGAGGATGCGGGGAACAGGGACAGAGGAGCTGGGGGGGGGGCGGGGGAGCCGAGGACCTCCTGTGCACCAGCATCTCCCTTCTGACTATCTCCCGACTCAAGAAGCAGCGCTCAGAGAGGCCAGGGGCGTTGTCTGAGGTCACACAGCCCATAAGCAGCAGAGCAGGCCTCTTGCGGCACTCGCCCTATCACGCAAGACACTAGCCCAGCATGGCTACTGGGTCCTTCCCAAATCCACCCTCTTGTTTCCTGCCTTCTGAGCCTGCCCCGTGAAAAGCCACTGCCTGTGATCTCTTCCCCACCAACTGCTTTCTCCTGTGGGAATCCTGCACCTTCTCACAGGACTCTATCAGAAGCCACCTTCCCTCTGAAATTTTGCTGATACCTTAAATAGAGGGCACCCCTTCTCCCTGTGACAGCGAAGTCTCTGGGCCCTCCATCCAGTCACAAACACACGTGGCCCCTCAGTGTCACGCTTGGAGGCAGGTGGTGGGATGGGGCAGGAAAGAAGGGGAGTGGGCTCTCTCCAGAGAGAGATGTTCTTGTTCCAGTTGGCGGGGGGGGAAATAAATAATGAATAAGCAAGACCATACTCAAAAGTATTTCGAGAGTGGTAAGTGCTGTGAATAGAATAAAAATGGTGACAGCAAAGAGGATCACAGTAGGGGAGGGTCACTACTGTCACGAGTGATCAGAGAAGGACCCAGGAGGAGCGACGTCTGAGCTGGGACCCAGTAAGTGAGAAGAAGGTAGCCGTGGGAAGTCTGAGAACACACCAGGCAGAGAGGACGACAGGTGCAAAGAGCCTGAGGTGGGAATGTACTCAGCATGCTTGAGATTCAGACAAAAGGCCAGTAGCACGGAGCCTGTCCTGCCAAGTACTGTTTCTTCCCTGACTAGGCCAGAAGCTCCCTCAGGGCAGGGATCATCTTCGGCTCCCCTTGTCTCCGCTTACCTAGTTGGGGCCATCCCTTTGTTCATTTAGTTGGAGCTGGATTCAGTAGAGGGACACTGGATCTCCACCTAGTGCTGACACCAATCTCTGACATCAATTAATATTCAGCGAAGTGGGGCAGGTGAATGCTCCTGGGGTGGGAGGGGCCGGTGAGCCCACCATGGACTTGAAGGCAAGCCCTGTGGAGAGACGAGGACCCCAGGGCTTGAGGCCCAGCTGAGCCCCTTATGACCCCGGGGGCTCTGAAAAGTCACTTCTCCTCTCTGGGGCTCAGTTTCCCCTTCTGTAAAATGGGACTAGCTCCCAGTTTCCTGAGTGATGGTCAGGATTCAATGAGAAGCTGTGTGAGACAGGGCCCAGCTCATTCTGAGCACCTGCACACCCTCACCTGTCTGACCTGCATGGAGATGTCACCTGCTCAGGTCTCCTCCAGAGTCTTGCTCAGCCCCCTGAGGAGAAAGAGCACACAGTGGCTCTTGAACCAGGTTGCTCGCCGGAATCACCTTTGAACAACTAAAAGAACTCCTCCCTTAGCCCAGGCCTCCTAAATCAGAAATCCTAGGGCGAGGGCCTGGCAATCTGTGTCTTCTAGGATTCTGCTGGTGATCCTGGTGGGAAGCTGGGGAACAACTAGACAAGGAGCTGAGGAAGAGTTTCGGGTCCCAAGAGGCTCAGACAGATCTGGGTCTGAGCCCTGGCTTTGCTCATTACTAGCTGTGTGACCTTGTAAAGATTGCTGGACTCTGAGCCTCAGCTTCCTCATCTGTAGAATGGGAATAATGATAATGTGCACATCATAGGACCATTGTCAGAACCAGACAAGATCTAGAATATCAAGTCCTTAGGATAGCTGCTGGAATGTGATAAACATTCAGATGATTGCTGCTATGATCGTTGTAGTTATTATTAGGAATTTGCAGGTGGCAATGACGTCATCAAGCAAAAGAGATGGCAGGCTCATTAAGAGAACATTTATCTGGATGAGCACTGAGTAGTATATGGAAGTAGTACATGGAATCACTATATTGTACACCTAAAGTGAATATAACACTGTATGTTCACTACATTGGAATTAAAATGTTTAAAAAGTAAAACAAAAAGGAGAGATAGTAGGCTCACCGTTTCTCACTCATTCATTCATTCCCACACTCACTCATTCCATCACTCTAGGTCTGCAGCCGATGGGAGAACCAACAGCAAGCCCCGTGTGGGGCCCAGCAGCCAGGCCATGGCCAGTCCTCCCACACTGTTCACCTCTGACTCACCTCTCTGTCTTCTTTTGCAGAATTCTCCTCTCTGGTGGCCGAAAGCTAAGAGGCTCTGACTGCCCCTGGTGTTCCTCCCCTCTGCCCCTCTTCCACCCAATCTCAGCCCCTCTTGCTGCCCTCCTGCATTTCTGTTCAGTGTGTTTATGTTATTTTTTACTCCCCCTGTCCCCTGTGGCCCTCAAATGACATAATTCTTCTGAAAAATGCTGGAGAAATAATAAAGGCTGTACCAATCGGATTCTGCTGCTCGGGAGGCCCTGGGCCTGGTGGGGCGAGGAACCTGCCTTGGCTTTCCAGACACACCTGTGCAGGGATGGAGTAGGATTTAGACTGAAAAGATAGGATGGGAGGGAAATTTACTGAGCCCTCCTCTGCCTGTGGTCCTGAGAATGGTACTTTGCATGGGTTGCCCATTAATTCTTGAAACCACCCATAAGGTAGGTGATGAAACTCCCATTTTACAGATGCAGAAACTAAGTCTTAGAGAGGTAAGTGACGTGTGTAAGCCCACACAGCTAGGACTTGTGGATGGATGGATGGATGGATGTAAACCCATGAAGACTCTTTGTTACAAATAAGAGAAACCCAACACAGTAACTTAAGCAAAAAAGGGAGAAAAAACAAAGATTTGGTTATGCCTGAATAGTCCAGGGGTAGGTCTTCAGGAACAGCTGGATCAAGTGGTATCATCAGAATTAAGTCCTTCTTCCCCCATCTCTGACTGTGTTCTTTTGTGCTGGATTCATTATCAGGCTCTCCCTCATGATGGCAAGATTCCTCCAGCAGCTCAATGTCAGTAAAAAAAGAGCTTCTCTCTCCCAATCACTCCATCAGAAGACCCCAAATTCAGTTCCATTAATACCAGTAACTAATGTTTATTGTGCACTTCCTTTGTGCTGAACCCGTTGCATGATTCCATCTGGACCACAACCTCACGAGTGAGGACTATCACTGTCTCCTTTGTACAGAAGAAGAAACATAGGCACAGGGAAGTTCTGTGTTTGCCCCAAACTGCACTCTCAGTAAGTAGTGGAGCCAGGGTCCCCAATCCTGGCAGTCACCTCCGGAGCCTGCGTTCCTCCCTGAACCAGTCCTCGTGACCCGAAGGCTGGGGGCCCTGTTTGGCACATTCCGGATGGCACCCATCTGTGAAGACAGGTGGGGTCAGGCGCACAGAAAGCTCAGGGTCTGACAGCTGGGGAGAGGTGTCCCAGCGGAAATCAGGAGTGGGGACGGAGGCTGGGTGGACACAAGGCAGCATTCCTGCAGGATGCCTTCTGCTCTTTCCCACGACAGCCTTGGAGAGGGAACTGGTGCGTGTTCTCATCTCTCATGTCAGGTTTCCAGACCCCTTACCCAGCGGTGCTTCCTGACTCTTCCCCTGTCGTCTTGGGCAGGGCTATCAGGGAAGGCCCTCACTGAGGGTAAGGCCGGGGCAGGCAGCCCCATCCGGGTTTAGGCTGAGGAGCAGGGATGGACAAGCCACCTCCCTACAGCCAGGCAGAGTCAGCTGACTCAGGCTCAGGAGGGGACTCGGGACCAGAACTAGGAAGTGGGTCAAAGCAGCAAGCTCCAAAAGACCGCCCTGCCAGGGGCTCGACCAGGTGTGCTCCAAAGGGGCAGGTGGGCCCAACGTGGGAGCTGAGGGTGGGGTAAGATGAAGAGGGGCCGTATGCCGGGCCCGTGTGTCATGCAGGAGGAGGGGCTGGGCTGGGGAGCTGCAGTGTCTCCCCAGAAACCAGAGCAGGGCCCTGCAAGGACAGGCAGGTCAGGAACAGCGCCGCCCACCACGGCCCACTGGCCTGAGGTGGCTTTCAGCGCTTCTCACCCCACACCCGAATGACAGCCCGCACATCACAATTCAGACTCGGGGCAGCACGTGGCCCAGCAGCTAAGCACGTCTGAAAGCAGGGCTGTTCGACCTCTTAGGGGACACAGGACATTGGCTCCAGGTCCCTCCATTTGGAAAGGATTTGTCTGGGGTGTGGGCAGGACAAGGAGGAAATGCTTCCATGAATGGAGGGCACCTTTCGGGGGGTGGGGAGTACAGCGGTATTGTGGCGGGGGGGTGTGATGACCGGTGACACCACACCGGCCATCAGTCACCAAGCCTCCTCTTGCCTCCTACTACACAGCTCTTGATTCCCTCGATCCCCTCACCCTCGCCACCACCACCTGAATCCAGGCCTGGTCACAGGGTAGGGCAGGGGACCCCTCCACAGAGCCCTGTGCCCAGGGTCTCACATTCGTGAAGAAACTCCAGTTCAAACTTGGGGCATCTCTTCTAATGAGGCCATACGTCCAGTCGCTGTTTGTAACTCAGGGTTGGCATTTCTATATACTGGGGCCCTAACCACCTGGAAGTCGGCTGGCTCCAAGCTGATTCTGAGAGCTGCTGGTGGCGGTTCCCGTGGCCCCTGGCCTGCCACAGTGGCTTCCTAGCCTGTGTCCCAGCCTCCCCATCCCTCCCCAACCCACTCTCCACCCAGAGCCCCCAAGGGTTCTTTCCTAAAACTGTCCTGTGACTGCCCCATCCACAGACTAGAACCCCGAATCCAAGCACAGCCTTCCCTGCCCGCAGGGATGGCCTAGCTCCTCCACTCCCACCCCTCCCCCATCTCTGCCTTCTCCCTCAGTCCCCACTGCTCCCTACCAAGCTGCTCCCTCAGCCCAGATCGTTCTGCCCTCCCCGCCACTTTCCCTGCCTCAGTCTTATTCCTCTTGGGAACCCGCCTCCCCCAGATGGACACCCCCGCCAGGGCTAGAGCATCTGAACTTCTGCAGGTGAAATGGGGAAAACAGGTGTGACAACTTAATTCACACCCATGTCTCCCAGAGATCGTAAGATGCCCAAGGTCATGTCCGCGGGGTTCCCTGCTGGATCCCAGGGCCTGATGCACAAAAAGGTGCCATGATGCCAACGTGGCCACAGAGGCCAAGTGTGGCCAACGACTGGCTCAAGGCCACAGGCGCAGAGCAGAATGGAGACCTGACCCCAGCCTCCAGCTTTCCCACCCTGCCACGGTGTCTCACCCACAGAGACCTTCCACCCCAGCAAGGAGTGGGGCACAGGCGACGGACGTCCTCCTAGCCCAGCATCGGCCAGCCTCCGGCCAGAGTCACATTGACACCTGGTCACCACCCTCTTCATTTGCTCATCAGCTCAACACAACTCCTCTTCCGTTTCTTCCTTGTTATGCTCACTCCTTATCTCCATCTCCCTTCTGTCCTGGAAAGGCTGGGGACCCGGAGGGAAGGAGCTCGGGGCTGGGAGGAGGAGCCTGAATGGCCTTTGATAAGAGCAGGGAGCAGCCTGCATGCGGGCAGAGGCCTGAATGATGGAATAAATGTCCCAGAGCTCAGAGAGGATGCAGGTAAGTGGGAGAAGAGGGAGCAAGGAAGGGTCAGAGGTGGGGAAGGCTGGGTGGGAAAAATCGGGGCTGTGGACTCTCTCCTCTTCCAGCCATGGGCTTGGAGAATAGGAGCGTGCTGGGCTCCGGATTTGGGGCTGGACAGAGCTGCCTTCCAAATCTGCCTCTTCCTCCTTTGAGCACCTACTTTGTGCCAGACGTTTTGTATATAACACCTCTTAATTCCCACCATAACCCTCCAAGGAAGGGAGCAATTTCTATTTTTATTTTTTTTTATTCTTATGTTAATCCCCATACATTACATCATTAGTTCTAGATCAAGTGTTCCATGATTCATTGTTTTTGCATAACACCCAGTGCTCCATGCAGAACGTGCCCTCCTCAATACCCACCACCAGGCCAACCCATCCTCCCACCCCCCTCCCCTCTAGAACCCTCAGTTTGTTTTTCAGAGTCCATCGTCTCTCATGGTTCGTCCACCCCTCCGATTTCCCCCACTTCATTCCTCCCCTCCCCCTACCTTCTTCTTCTTCTTTTTTTTTTCTTAACATATCTTGCATTATTTGTCTCAGAGGTACAGATCTGAGATTCAACAGTCCTGCACAATTCACAGCGCTTAACAGAGCACGTACCCTCCCCAGTGTCTATCACCCAGTCACCCCATCCCTCCCACCCCACCCCCCAGGGAGCAATTTCTATTTTACAGGTGAAAAAAAGAGGTTCAGAGAGGTTAGAGAACTTGCCCAAATTACACAGCTAATAAAATAACAAACATAGACTCATATAGTCAACAAATAATTTTTGAGTGCCTTACTTACAGCCAACACAGCTAAGCATTTTAGAAGCATTACCTCATTGGATCATCATAGTAACTGTTAGACCTCTTTCCAAAGTTCGGCCTTCTCTGGCTCTGCCTCCCCCAGTGAAGACCCCCACCTCCATCCAGTGTCTCTGCTGCCACTCTACAGGGACAATTAGCCTGGAAAGATTTAAATTGGTTGAATCTGATATTCCAGTTTATATAAGAATCAGGAGGGGCAGCTCAGCATGTGGGACAGAAGTCCAGTGCCCTCTGACTTTGCATCCTCCTCCATCGGTCCAGCCAGAGAAAGGCATGGGCAGCCAGTCTGGACCCCAAACCATGTCACAAAGGGCTCTCACCTGACTTACCTCTGTTTCTGCTCTCCCTATACCTCCCCAGGGAAGTGATAGAAGAAGTATCCACATTTGGGGTTTAAGGTCAGATCTGGGACTCCTAAGGGCCAAAGGCAGGCTCCCCATGGTGGTGGCACTCAAGCCAGGATACCCTCATCATCGCCATTTTGCAGATGAGAAAATGGAGCATAAGTAGCTTAGTTGAAACCCCAGAACCCATTTGTTTGACCCCACTCTTTGCCTGATGGGGGACAGAGCCAGGATTCAAACTATGAGGAGCCTGGATTCAGAGTCCACATTCTTCTCCTACATCCCCTACCTCCCCAGACTGAAGAATTCTCTTACTCAGGGAGGTCAGCCTTTTCATTCTATTCGGGCCTTCAACTGATTGGATGAGACCCACCCTCATTAGGGAAGGCGATCTGTTTTACTCAGTCTATTGATTTAAATGTACTGTCATCACAGAAACACCCAGAGTTATGTTTGGCCAAATATCTGGGCCAGTCAAGTTGACACATAAAATTAACCAGCACAAACCCCAATTTAAAAACAGACAAATGACTTGAAAGACATTTCTCCAAAGAAGATCTACAAATGGCCAACAAGCATGGGAAAGACGCGCAACATCATCGGTTGCTAAGGAGATGGAAAATCAAAACACACTGAGAAACCACTTCATACCCCCTAGGATGGCTTTAATCAAGAAAATGAA